ATATCGTGCTGTATTCCTTATTGCCTTATCGGGATCGAGGGAACCTGGGAGGCATCGACAGTAGCCCCATGATTTTCGCTCCCATGAATGCCACGTCTGCTGTGCCTCGACCGTTCATTCATACGATTGCTCCTCATCGTTCGTCCGCGCGTGCCGGGAAATATATTGTAACAGACGTCTCTCGCAGTGACACTTCTTACTCATCAGAGCCACTCCCCGACTCTCGTACAGTCTCTATAGCTCTCGCGTGTTTCACGATGAGCCTGAGCCGAAAGCTTCGCTGGGGAAGTATATTGTACTTACGATAATAATCGTTGTGTAGTTCTACCCGAACCGATCGACGGATTCATACAAAGCGATGATTTTTGTGCCGCCGATGTATCGTTCACATCGTTTAGGCTGCCTTGTGGAAGAGGCAGGAGCAGCAGACGAAAGAATGAACGTTTGCGTGTACGTGTGAGCGTGCTCTCGTGCGTACCGGTTCCTATACCCGTTCGCCAACCCGTTCAGCTAGCGGTCGCGGGTGGACGAGCGAGCACCCGCGATTCTGCGGTCTCACTGGCTCACCACCACGCGATAAAGCGTAAAGATAAACACGCTTGACAGGAAGCAGAAGCGACCGTGTTCTTGGAGTTGCTTCAGAGTGGTGGGTGAGGCTACATCATTTCGCTATCTTTGGACCAATGAGTAAGAAGTGGTTGTTTCAACCAGCCGCCGCCGAGAGATGAGCTGCGAGAGGTGGTGGTCAGTGCGACGTTTCTAGCAGATCACAAAAATCATCTTTCTCGCTGCGGCTGTCGTAGTCATCACCGTCATCGTCGGGGAAGCTTGGCAATTGTTTAATGGTGTCGAGAAGCACAGGAAGAGATACCTGGGTTTGCGGTCGCCTTTCAAGGTGGCGTGCTAACCAGACAACTGTGCTACGATTCGCTCTGCTGGAACAAACCAGCCTAATGAGGCTGTTCTTCTCCTCATTCACTGAGCTCATTCAGATCACCTCGTATCTTTGAGGGTGGTCTGGCCTCGAAATCCGCTTGATCGGAAAAGCTGGGAAAGGTTCGTGATGGAAAGTGTGGGTTTTATCGACAAGGTTTCATCGCCGGCGTGTACACATACTTCTCTCGTATGAGGAAACAACTCTTGAAATATTCACACAATCGATACAATCTCTCCGTCGGTTGGTCGGATCGATCGACCAGCTACGCAGTTTCGCGGCGATAGAGGAGATGAGGAAAATAAGACTCGAAAACCGCGGGGCAGCTCCTTGTTGGCCTCCGGCCTGGTGAAAATCGTAGGAACTCCGCGGAGGCTCTGGATGATTCACCGTCAATTCGAGGGGCGATTCCGGGTCGTCACACTAAGCGTGGGCAACGAGGGTTAAACCCTCGGACATCTTAGGAACAATAAATTTTTTATCCATTCCGCGCGGTGTCGATAAATTCCCCCGACTGGGAAGACCCACGGCTCAGAACGGTGCTCCGAGGGAGTTAGATCCCACTTTCAGAGCGATCAGAGTTTTTTCTCCTTGTTTGTTGCACCTTTTTGTTTCGTTTCCCTGATGGTCTGTCATTGACGAGAGAAAGTGTCGGAGATCCAAGAGCGAATCCGACAAACACTGGGCTCCGACTAATTGATGTCGCCGATCGAATGTACAAGCTCAAACGTGTACTCGACAGGGATTGACCCTTGAGCCAATCCGTACTGGGAATCTCGGACAGCGGAGGGAGTGACGGGAAACCCGGGACGAGACGAAATATCCTAGAGCTGGAGTGCGTATACGTCGCATCGTCCGAGTGCTTTTGTCAAGAAAATATCTTTCGGGAATTCTTCAGCTGAGTGCATGGAAAAAGCCGCTAAGCGAACAGATGGCTAGCGCAGATGATATCGAGTGTTAAGACGACATCGGGAACATAGCTGAGTTGGAGGCGAGAGCATTGTCGTCGCAAAAGAAGCGCAGCCCGAGACGTACAGAGCGACAAACAAATAGACGACGCCGAACGTTGAGGGCTCCGCCTCCTTGCTTGAATTACGAAACAACGTGTTGAACGGAAAGCGAGACATCGTCTCAATTTATGGCTAAAGGAGTCTGACCGGTGAAATGAGCAGTGCGACGAGGCCTTGGAGAATGAAACGCCCGCGTCATCAGCTCGCTCTGTTTGGCCGACAAAACCATTAGAGCGTTTAGTGTGCATTTGCACCGCCCATCGCTGCATGAGTTAGTGCTGCGGCCGGTGCTCTTACCGCGAGACACACGAACCGATGCACGAACGCACGCAGACCAAACAACAAACGAACTAAAGTTATCAAGCGAATCCCTTGAACCATGGATAAGCGGAAACGTTCAAATTCGTGGAAGATCAGCCGAGCGTCACACGAGCCGCTGTTTCGAGCCCCAGCTTGTTCCAGGCACGTTCGATGATCATGAAGTGGAATTTTTCAGAAGTTTTCGCCCAGTCTGGATCCGCAGTTCCCGGTAGGTCGGTGATAGGCCGCCAGTTGGGACGGCGGGGAAGTTCGCGCAGTCCCGACCTGAATCTCCAAGGATGCGTTCATTAATTCGCGCTGTACTGCTTACGCTAACTCGCTTTGCGGAGTGAATTCATAAAGAGGAATGAGCATCCTTGAGGAACTTTCATCACTCCCAGCCGACGTACTTGTTTGGAATCCCCTCATTTTCGACGTATTCCATAACTTTTCCGCATCCTTCAGGGCAGCCCCGCGCTCGGCATTTCTATGGGAACCTGATGTTAGCCGAGACTACCCACGATCTGTGTCAGACTTCCGGGGCGGGAATCGTAAATGATGGCTGGAAACGAATTCACGCGAGCTGCGATGCAGAGAAAATCCCTCGAGGCCCTGGGAGCAGTCGGGACTCTTGGAAGAACTCGAGTCTCTCAATGAAAGGCGGCCGAGCAATAATTTGACAATTTCCACTGGTATCCACTGATGGCTCCCATGCTCCGTTATTAGTCTACACGAACGGGACACGCTCAAGATGGTCCTGAGTTTGAGGCTAGAGGAACGTCAGATAGTTCATCGGTTATCACCTCCAGGGGGAGGTCCTTCGCCGCGGAGTCCCGGTAATGGAAGTCGAGCCGTAGACCAAGCTGACAGAGCTCCGAGAGAAACAGAGCGGAACCTTGCAGCCGTAGGGAAGCTCGTTGGGAGCTGTGTCAAATTCGGTCGGTCACACAATTACAGCGCAAGTTGTTAAGCTGATCACAATTAAGTCACCTCCCGTCGAGTCTCTTCTGGCACAACGAACATCTCCTCCACGAGGGGTGAAAATGAGGGAATAGGGTATTTTTATATGGCTGCCCCAGATTGAAGGGTGTATCAGGCTGTCTGGGATGGATGTCCGACTCGTCCCATGACTTTCCGGAGATTCGTATGCAGGGAGAGATAGACAATCAGAGTTATGAATAGAAATCTCTGTGTCGGGGCCCTGGACCGGAAATCGAGGCTACCTGTTGTTGCTGAGAGTGGTCCCGTCCACCAGGACGTTCCTGCTAGCTACTCGATCTGTTCGCCAGTCACCCTCCGTCTCCATGTTCGAGCGGGAAAGTCTTCCGATTTTTCGCCGCAGCGAAAATAAATACATCCATCGCTGAGAGACACTGTTGCCGTGCGTAAAATGAGTGCTTCATACGTACATATGCAGGTACCTGCCCCGTTTCCATAAATGACGTTATGAGCAAAATCGGATTCTTCGAGTAAATAAGTTTCGGCGCTAGCAACACCGACGGCGGCAGCAGCTCCGGCAGCGAGATGTGGGTGGCCTTTGCGGGCGTAGTTAATACGCAGATGGATCTGATATTCCACATCTGCATCGAGGTCAGACACTTTTGGAGGCCGTAGCGGACCTCCCGAGAACAATTCGCAACTCCCGGGTGGTCATTCACCAAGTTTGGCTCGCTATCCACTCAGCCGCTTGCTTAACAGCTCGTGGCTCAGGCTCCGCGCTCGTTTAATGATAGGAGCGTGTGCGCCCTAATGCCGCGGATAGATCCCGCGGGGATGGGGAAGGATAATCGCTGTACCCGTCCAGCTGGGAATAATTGATTGATACCGACTGCCGCACATAGCGTGAGAAGAGATTGTCGCAGACAGCGAAAATCGACGACGTGGGAATCCAGTTCTTCGGAATGAACTCCTCAACGCCGACAAGAAGACGACGAACACCCTCTCGTCCCTCGTCGTCAGCGTCTCGAGTGGTTTGATGTCGAGGATCGGAAGAAGTCCCCGTCTGGGTCTAGCTTCGGCCTTTGGCTCGGGAAATAGGCATTCGAGCCTTCATACGAAACCTACGTGCTGCCATATGCGCGAGCATCTACAGTTCTCATTTGTGTGGAGGCTTGAATTAGTATGGCCCACTTGGCCACAAGTCGGAACTTTGACAACAGGCGTCTCGAAGCTCGTACCTCGTAGAACTGTTCGCATCTCAAAGCGTCGGTCTCTCACCGATGACGGTACAACGTAGCTTGCCGGCTAGCTGGCTGGCTGGGCCGAGTGGTCTCGGCGGTACCAAAAGCCTTCTCCGGGCTCACTTTAATATTCGAGTGGGTCGCCTTAATGGCTATGGACGGAGGCAATAATTCCGCAAGACGAGTGTTCGTACGATAGACAAGGCATTCGTTTATCGTCGCTGAATGACGACTTCTCTGGCGCGTCCCCCGTCTGGGTGGGCATGTAATCCGCTGGAGCGTCGGAAAGTTCGTCGCAGCTCAACACTTGAAGATTTCATTGAATTCGGAGCTTGGCATGCGACCATCAATAGACGGTGGGACTCGAGCAGCGTGTGTTGCTCGAACGATCAGGGAGCTCTGAGATTTTTTCTAAGTCTGAGATATTCTCCAAATATTCCCTCGTCCCCTCTGTTTTCATAAAAGTTCCTGCAGAACTCTAGCGGTCGAGGCGCTCTCATCACATGCCCCTTCCGCCGGATGTGATTCCACCCGCATTCCAACGATTGTATTGTTGAAGTTTGCGTTTCCTTCCAGGCACCGGAACCTTCGGAAGAGTTTGCCTATGCCGAGCCCGCAACGAATTCTATGCTTTGAAAATAATGCGCATAGAAGACGTGATACGCCTCAAACAGGTGAGTAAACGCTCTCGGCGGGAGTAATCCGCTCCCCACAGAAGTTGCGATCCTTCCGCAGCGCTTTTCAACGCTGCCATACGCTATAGGCAGCCATAATACATCTCTGGATCCCGGCATTCCCGTTCCACGTGCAGTCAGATATCCTTGAAATCGAATTTTCATCCTCCCCTCCACTCATGAGTTACGGGAGTCTTCACGATTCGCCGTGGCGGTAACAATGCCGCATCTCTCCCGATCCCGAGTGTCCTAATCTCTGCTCGTAATTCGTCGAACTGTCCACTGAAATTAGATTTTCAATCGCCGACTGATAGAAGGCATTGATTGGACTATTTTTACCGCAGGTCGATCATGTGCGGAGCGAGAAAACGATTCTTCAGCATGTGCACCACCCCTTCATCATAAAGTGAGTATCGGGCAGGGAGAATCGGAATGAATATGAGCGGAGGGGAATAATCTTAGCGTGGGAGCCTGACCTCCGACTAAAATCGGACGTCGCTAGGAAGGGGCCAGTCATCGATAGTCTGATCGAGGAGAGTGTTATTGATACTTTCGAGCAGCTTTCTCGTGGCCGACGAAGTAGATGATGTTGGATAAGACTTGGTTTCGCAACCGGAGCTGTCTGCTATTCGCGGGATGCAGTCTCGACGGATCAAAATGAGTCAAGCCCGCCCTGCCCCAGATTTGCGTCTCTACGGATTCTCCCTCGCGGATTATATCGCTGAAAAGCTCTCGGACGTACCTACCTTCTGGGATGAGCATCTGTCAGCTACAAAATCCTGGCACCCACCGCCTGAGCTTTTCTCGGGGGATGCTCTGTAGCGAGTGATACAAGTGGTCAAGGGAGGCGTGCGAGACTGGGTTCGGCGGCGACGAAGAAAGGTTTTCCGAGCGCTCGTTGGTTGCCGATCGCCGTTGAGCGGAAGAAAGTTGCAGTTTCTGAGAGATACACCCTTACGTTGCAGGCTCCTGTGGACCCATCACAGTAATAGCGCTCTCTACATGCTGCTCGAATACGTCGCCGGCGGCGAACTATTTACTTATCTACGGAATGCGGGAAAGTTCTCAAATGCTGCGGCCATTTTTTACGCCAGCGAAATCGTTCTAGCCCTGGAGTACCTCCATTCGAAAAACATTGTCTACCGGTGGGTACCGCCCTAAATTTTGCCCGTCTCGCTGGACGTGTCCCCCTCTGAAGGAGGAGGAATAGTGTCGGCGTAATATATTTTCCTTGGCCAGAAGGTCTGTCGTGACTCTCGTCTCCCCTTCCCTTGTAGAGATCTCAAACCAGAGAATCTGCTCCTCGACACAGCCGGCCACCTGAAAGTAACGGACTTCGGGTTTGCCAAGCAGCTTACGGACCGAACATGGACCTTGTGCGGGACACCAGAGTACCTCGCTCCCGAAATCATCCAGAGTAAAGGTGTGTCCCACGTTGACGGGAGATAGAATAAAATGTGATAATTTTTCGACTTCCGCGAACCGTCGATTCGAGTCGGGCATCCGGTTCCAATGGCAGAGATAAGCTGCCTTTCGAGATAAGCAGGCTGCGGCATCCGAGTTGGAAGGGCGTACCCTTTGGAAACGGTAAAAAGCAGAGCATAGGCGTGACAGATGCACGCATTGACCGGACTGTATGCAGCACTTACGTGATTAAATAGACATCGCCAGCGACGATAACGGCTCCGAAGGTAGAGAGTAGAGACTGAAGATCTTATCGATCCGACTTTCCGCGAGCTGAGCCGTACGATTAACCCGACACCGCGTCGGCCGCAGGAAGCGTTCGAGGAGCAGCTCAGGAAGGAAGCCAATCAGGCCCAGGAAAGGAGATGGGTGGGCCACACGGTATCCGCTTCGAATCGTGTTTCTGGCCCGGCGCAGACTCTAGTAGATTCTCGGGTTTGACAGTAGAAAAAATAAGGGAATAGAGCGATAGGCTTGCCCGCTGAATTTATGTGCCTCACGTGGAGCCGAATCGTAGGGGTGATCTGGGGATTCAAGTCACGTTCGCGGACTTCTAGCCCGAGGAGGTTTTGATCGGGTTTCGCGAGGGTTGTTTTCGAGAAGATTGCTTCCTTTGAAAATGCGATGAGGAAACATGCGCGAGGCGGACGCCGACCTTTGGATGGGTATGCATTACTGCCAACAGAGATGGATGACAGAGTCCCTGTCTGCGAGGGTCTTCCTCCACGTCATCTCACTTGCATTGCTCCCAGCTTCGCTTGTCACTCTCGTGCCATGTGCGAGGTCTTAGGTGTTTCCCGGACGGAGAGAAACATGAGGGCTAGGCCGATGATGTTGATCACATGAGGACGGAGAGAAACGCGACGGACTGGAGACCGCAGGATGCCTAAGAGAGGTTTAACGGAGAGCGAAGAGAAGGCTGGGTCGCTGGAGGGCACTCTCTGTTGGCTCCGCCGCGTCGAAAATAATCCATACGTACACGCGTGTGGAAGACGTAATTGTCTCCGTACGTACCAACGACGCAGCCGAGCCGCGAGAATTATCGAGTAATTACTTGACAAGGCGCCAAACTGTGCGCTCCCTCACACTTTCGGTCTCCAAGCCTCGGCTCCGTCAAAGCTGTATTGCGCGGATCGTGTTGACCCAAGCAGCAGTCACCGTCGGATCGAATGACTGGTCGCGATCGCCTTATGTATATTTCCTCACGCATGGGCCAAACTCGCATCTTGCGGATCGGTGCATTGGGCTCATCTCGGAGCCCTGAGATTCTAAACGAATAAGGAGACTCGATTCAGGACTCTCGGTACAAGACAGCCTTCTCGTAGTGACCATAGAAATCCAACGAGAGATCCCGGGGCCCAAAGGCGCTAATTTCCCCGAGACAGGAATATCCCTCCGAGCTCTTACGTTCGTTCCTGAATCCACTTGTGGGTGATCGATGGCTTTGTGGATTCGTCGTTTCTGCGTATCGTATTCTGAAGGCAGCTCAGAGCGGGCGATTCGTTGAACGATTGCCTGGACTTCGATCCAGGAGGCGAAGGCCGCTGAGGAGCTCCTCGTTTCTAAAATACTATTCCATGCCAAGCCAATCCTATGGAGAATCGAGCCTAACGTTCCTCGTTCCGTCATTCTCCAGGTCACAACAAAGCCGTAGACTGGTGGGCGCTCGGCATTCTCATTTTCGAAATGCTATGTGGGCATCCCCCGTTCTACGACGATAACCCTTTCGGGATTTACGAGAAAATTCTCGCCGGAAATATCGACTGGCCAAAACATCTCGTCGCAGACGCTAGGGACATTATCAAAAGACTTCTGGTAAGTTCGAGAGCGCTACCGCAGCGGCATTTTGTGGCGAAAGAGAGAGTTCGCGCCTGAGCTCGGTCTAGGCTCCTCCTCCAATGGAATTCAATGAAACCTCGACTCCTTCAAGGTTGTCGAACGATCGAAGCGGCTGGGATCGATGAAAAACGGCGCCGACGATGTCAAACGGCATCGGTGGTTTTCATTGGTGAATTGGCACCACGTCTACATGAAACGAGTTCGAGTAAGTATGTCTATTCGCCATCAGGAGAACTTTCGCATTCGTCTAATCCACTCAGGAGGTTCTAGCGCTTGGTCTCTATGATAAAGCGCCATGACACTGCGTGCGAATGGAGATCAAGGTCATGGATTAGTGAATTGGTTTGCTCTTTTTGCTCCGCGCGGCTCCCACCGGGAAGACCGACAATGGAGCGCAGCGGGTTATTTGATGAGGTCTGGGGTGCAAATCGCTTCCGGGCAGCAAAGTTTTGGCCATGCACGAAGTCTCCGTCATAACTTTGGAAACCCCGAAAAGTACAGAGCTTCTTCGGGCTTCCGATAGGGTGGTATAAGGAGCAACCCCAGGGTGGAATGCCATCTCACGGCCTCGTACTTTAAAATTCAGAAGTCCTCGAAGCTTCCACTCAAGGTGTCGTTGTTCGTCACGATGACAACAGCTGGCGACGATGCCGCACGGAAAGCTGTCAATGATGATGATGATAATACTTCCTTTACAGCCGCCCTTCGTGCCATCCGTTTCGTTCGATGGCGACACGACGAATTTCGACGAGTACGACGAAAAAGAAGTCGACTTACGCGACGATGTTGACAGTGACGACGACTCGTTTTTCGGTGACTTCTAGGCGTTGAATATAAATAAATATATGTACAAGATGGAGAAGACCATAAGAAATATGTTTATATACCTCGCAGACGAAACGACAAAGCGGAGGCTATTTGTGATAAAACTGAAATCGAATGTCTATTACTATTACCGATGCATACTCTTCGAATACATCGATCGGTCTTAGGACCTTGTGAAACTCTTTCTGGGGAACGAGAGTCTCCGAACTGTTATGATTTCCGTCTATACGGTTTGTTACCGTTCCCGACCGGAGCATGATCCCCGGCGATACGAGTGAATCTCAGTTTAAAATAAACAATGCTTACCTCGCAACGCCAGCGTCTTTCTTTCCGGACGCATATTCCTTTCGTCATCAGATACTGGACATATGATATTTTCGGGCACACCGGGAAGGGGGCCGGATCTCAGCCAGAAAGTCTCGGATCTGAGCTCAATATGCCCAACGGGCTCGATGAGGAGATCTGATCGACTCGAGGGATACAAGGAGTGCGGGAGCTGATTCGGTCCCGGTGAGAGCATGCGACATGGAGGTCGCACGAGGTCTCGTCCTCTCTGGTAGCCTGGTAGCGTGAGCGCTGCGTTATGAGTTCTCTGGAAGAGGATCGAATTTCCAGAAAGGGGAACATTCCCGCTGGCTCGATTGTACCGACAGGAGAAAATCTCTATTTAAATTACACGGCGCGCCGACGTTCTCCATGCGTCGGATGTTGCTGCCGACCGAAGACGTCTGGCCTCTATGCTCGAGTTCCCCTCCACCGGATCTCGAGGGATGGGGCTTACGGAGAGCCGCAAGGAAGAGATAGCGCGGGAATGGATGTCCACGAGCAGGAGCCTTTCTAGGAAGCAGAATAAATCGACTGTTATTTTCATTTCTCTGCACTCGGACGAATTTTCTCTCACCATCGTTTCGCCTGCTGACTGACTTGTTGTCGTAGTCGCCGTCCACGGGCCGTCGCTACTCGGAACGTCATCCCTTGCGGCTGCGATGCAAATGTTCTCACAAGAGCGAGCAACAGAGGGCAGTGACAAAGCTCTTGCCAACAACCTCAGACAGCGTGCACAAAGTTGGTTTTTGCTTTCCTCCCGAACGTCGTAGTAACGTATGTAAGTAACGTCGAAGTTCCTTACTCCATCCCGAACCCAAGGTTTGGAAACTCCGAAGCTGTCACGAGACAAAAGGAGTTTCCAGCCGGGACTCCGACTAATTGTGATTTGATTCGCGCTACAGCCCGACCAAGGTTCGGAGGCGGACACGTGTGACGCTGAAAAGCGACTCGATCCGATTCTTCCAGGCCCATCGAAGAGGGTTTCCTGACCATCGCGAAAAACTTCCCGGAATGAGACACATCGAGTCTCTGATCCATGTGCTCAGCATCGCGTCGAGATTCCGATTCGCCATTAGGTCGGTCGTGTCGAATCCCTTAAGATTCCAAACCTCAACGGGACTATCCGCGCAGGATCAGCGGGGCTCCGTTTGGCATGACTTGAGCTGTGACGCAAAAATGTTCCAAATTCTCATTATGCAAAAATGTTCCTCTGCCGAGCTGAACCTCTCCCGAAGATCTGTGCCGAGCTTCTCGGATTCTCACTCCGATTCCCGCCATCCGGTCGTACATGACGAGCTGCAAACATAGTTGAGTCTAAAAATATCTATTGGACATGATGTCGCTGTGCCTTCGACAGCTATACGCTCTGACAACCAGGTCAAGAGTCGGAATGTGACGAGAGCGAGATGACATCCGATCGAATTCAGAGAGAAGAGGAGTGACGGCTCCTTCTTTGTCGGATATACCGTGGAAACTTTGGTAATTATTATCCGATCAAACGAGAGTGTCATCGATTCATCGGCGAATAACCTTCGGCTCAAGGCTAACGATAATTTTTAGCACGTCCGTTTTAGCATTCAGAATGGCTTCCGATGAATTAACCCCCAGGATGGGACGACGATTTCGTTCGGCTGCTGAGACAATTATTGTGATCGTTAGAGGGCAGGATTCCAATATCCATGGTGTCGATTTCATCCATTGTTTGAGTTCGCCCGTCTCGCAACGTAGAACATACGGCGACCTTTTCCCTGAAAGTCCACGCGGAGCTCATACCCGTGAGTCGCATTCGATACGGAGCGCAATCAAAACTTTCGCATGCGACTCTTGTTTATGCGATTCGGAGTCTACCTTCGTCCATGAAAATCCTTGTCCCGGTAGGTCCTGAGTACGCGATGTCTCGAAGGAGTCGATGACCCCGATCTGAGAGCAAACGCTCCACCTTCGGACGGTCGACCGTGCCCATGGATCGTGATAGACTGTAGCTGCGCGGGCTCAGCCACGCAAGCCGTCTGTAATCCTCAGAGGCGAGGGAATTTCATTGAGATGCCAGGATAAATGATTCATGCATGGTAAAACTGGGCCTTTCGAGCCTGGAAGTGCACCGGCTGCGAGCTTTTCGTTCCAGAGAAGCTCCTCGTTCATCCATTCGTTCGGCTCCAATCACATTCTCAAAATCAAGTTCACGGTAGACCTGACGGCCTAAGGGTATCGGCCGATCTCACGAAGGCCCAGAGATCTCACCCTCCGAGCCTTGCTCGGATGCTTCGTGATCCGATCATGGGCACCCGCATGCGCCGCGCGTGGAGGGAAATGACTCAGGATCTCTCAAATCGCTCAAGGATGAGCTGCGTCCGTGAAATTCTTATGTCCGAGGAATTCCGGGGCTAGGGGTGAGGCTAACATGGAGCATTCGGTCGAGAGCATGATCGACAGATGTCTCTTGCTCACCGCTTACTTCCCTGCTCGGAGCTCCGAACCGCCTCGGGGGGGAGAGCGACAGGTTCGCGTGACAAGAGCCTCAACACCTATCAGTCACGAGCGAATGTGTTCGCAACCGCGGAGACATCGGCGATTATTTATATTCGGGGCCTAAATACAATTTCGAGCTCTGATCCGCAGGAATGGACGTCTCGACTCTTTCAGCGGCCTCGGCGGCACACCTGTACGATAGGCCTTAACGTGACGAGAGTAATAGCTTGGTGAGGTCATCGGGTCGACTGAGGCTCGTCATTCAGATTCTCTTCCGGGTCCGTTTTATGTTTTCCCTGCTCCAAAGGCTCACGACATCGTTCGTCGACCGCACGGATAGACAATCTCCCCTAGTGTCGCTGACTGGAGCGTGCCTCTCTTCTTTGGGGAAATGATCCGCCTCCGATCGACGGTGCAGGGCCTTGGCAGCAAGTTTTCGCAGATTTCATCTGAGTTCACGCTGACATCTGAAATTTTCTCGCTATGTGTTGCATATCTTCAATACTCGTCGCTGTTTCAAAGCCGCTCATTATGGACTACCGGCGTGATATTGGAGCTTGAGCTCGAGGGCCGCCGGCCGGGACCTCGAAGATATGATTCGTGGTTGAGATACTCATATTTTCAAATTCAGCCGAAGAGAAACCCTTTTGGACGGCGATCCTCAACACTCAGGTAAGTTCAGCTGAAATTGAGAGTTCAGAACGAAAGCGAGATTTGTTAATAGTTAGAGCACACTCGTTCCTTGGAGTCCTTCTTCTCAGGAGGATGGAAACAGTCATTTTTTTCGTAGAAGACGCTCTTATGGTATGCTCACTTTATTCAAGGGGTGCTACAGTTTGAATTTCTTGAGGCATTAGCAATAATGGAGTATCGATTCGTCCCTTTCAGTCCCTTCGTCGGATCCGGATCTGTGGATCTATGGGCTGCTCAACTATCCGGGAGTTTCCTGATTTCTCAGGCGTGATCTGATCCTATGTATTCAAGTCATTCAATCCGAACGTACAACTGGAGAACACTGTCCAGTAGCCACTCTAATCGTCTGCTCCGCTGCTGAAGCATTCCGATAGGTATCGAGTCGAAATGCAACAATGAGAATCTTCTGCGCACGACCGATGAAATGTTCGAAGGCAACGAGGGGCTCTCCTGGAGAGATGATCGGGTGGCTCTCATTTCTGAGGTTTCGTTTCGCGAGACTGAACACTCGATTTCCACTGATTCTACATTGGATAAGAAATGAAAAACGCCGGATCTCGACTTGTATCGAGTGCATCTTGGGGCTGAACATTAGAGTCTCGATCTTCCCGGAGGCAGCACATTCTATCGTTTCATCTCTTCTGACATTGTTTCATCCGATCCGGAAGTTTTCTCCAATCGAGGCTCCTGGTTCAAGTGAATCTCGACTCACGAGTTCACCGGGTTGATTCACGACTAAACTGGATTCAAATATCTTGAGGCTACGTCATCCGGCGGAAACCCTCGACTCCCGATCCACCCGACGGTCACGTCAGTCTTTCTTCTTCCATAAACCGTGTCGACCATTCATGGAAAGACGCGTCTCCTGGATAAGCGCACAGAGGAAAATCTGCCGCACTCTGAATTTATTTCTTCCCTCTTTCAATTATCATTTTCATAATATCCTCTCGGACACTTAGGTATCACACTTCACAACATAAGGCTAAAATACCATTGAATTTTCACCTTTCTCTTTTCCCATCGCTTCCCATTTTTCAGCTTTCCGTGGTGTGTAAAATTAGTTAAAGCGCAACTTAGTGCCGAAACCTTAGGGCTGAACGCTTGCCGAGCTAATTAGCGAGGTCTTATCGCAACATACTCGTTTGTTCCTATGCTTGTGGATTCTTGGACGGTGGACAAGATCCAAGCCCCGGGGTCCCGGTCGTCTTCCGAGCACCTCGCTCATTGTCGACTCTCATCCCGCGCTGACGAAGCGCATTGAAGGTCGACAAGATACTTCTGGCTCACTACCGAGTAGTCCTCCTTCTGACGGCACACAGGCCCCCTCCCGAGCGAGAAGCCACGAGAGCGGGACCACGCGGCGGAGGAGTGGTTTCGTTTGTATATTAATTTGATTTTTTTTATTTGTTTTTCTAGCAAAGTCAATAGCGCGACTTGCGACAGAAGAACCGGCTGCGTCCACTAGCAGGGGGTCAGCGCGTTCAAAGGGACGCGGCGAATCAGAAACAATACGTTCAAGAGGAAAAAAATACAAATCTCTCTCGCCTAAATAGAAATGAATCGATTCAACAACGTTTGATAGTGATTACCTGCTCGGACGCATCAGGTTCTCCTCGGTCTGTATAAGGCCACAGTTTGGTTGGAGTTTCACTGAATTCGTTCGCGCTCACCAAGACGGAATTCAACGTCACTGTTTGTATATTACATTCAGACCACTCGGGGCCGCTCGTCGCGTCCTTCCGAAAATATAAATAACACCGTTGTACTCAAAGAAATCTGAATCGGGCCCGCAAACAAGGGGTCGAACCTCGCATCTTGAGAGAACGACACTATGATCTCCGCTCCCCTGGCAGCCCGGGTCCTTTGTGTGAATATATATTTTGAGAATGGTTCCGACATTCATTAGATGTTGAACGTGTCGCCCCGTTACGTCAAATCTAAAAAGTGACTCGGTGCTGTATTGTCGTCATCGTTGTCTCCGCCAACCTGCTTAGAGGTTGAATGCGTTTTTTCTGTTGGTGCATGACTGATTTCCAACAGTCAGTGCTCCCCGTCCGTGCTTTGAGTCCATTTCACCTTCGCTTGCTTCGGTTGATTTTTGTGCTACTCTACCTACGCTCGACACCCTCAACCACCATCTATGGGTCCCTATGAAGCTCCTTCACCCGCTCGGATAGTGATGCTCGGTTGTCCAGACCCTGGTCCAGCACGGATAGGTTTCGCTGAAAGAAAAACAAACTTATACTCCTCTTCCGGTGCTTCATTGCTAGAAACGACCATACGAATAGCGATTGACGCTATGTATACGTGAGTGCACCGGAAATGAATATAATGACTCACCGATGAGCGCCACATGTCCTCTGCGTGCCATATTCTTCTGTCGAACGGCCTCCTTTATACGGTCCACCTCGGTCTGATACCGCTTCCGGTCCCGCATAGCTGATTCCTTGGCTTCTTTCAAGGCGCTTTCCAGTGCTTTGACCCGCTCCATGGTCGCCCGGAGACGTTTCTCCAATTTAGGGAGCTCACACCGGAGATCTGCGTTGTCTCTCACCAACTACGGTGAGGAGGAAGGAAGTGAAAAACCGACGTCGTTAATGACGTTTCTCACTGAGTTTTGGAAGGGGGTTTTGTGGGGTTCTCGTCAGCGTGAGTAAGGAACAGAGCGTTTATTGAGATTGAGCCTCGGACCGAGGCAGGGGGAGGCAGGCACGACTTCCATGAAAAATCAATTTATTCGCTCTTGCATATCCAACACATAAGCCTTGCAAAACAGCTCATTCTCAACCAAAATATGTGCACAACCTCATTCATTCTCTCACTTTCTGGTTAAGAGCTCGGGAATATCGGCTCAACTCGAACGAAAAAATATAATGTAGAGGATGCAACGATAAATTCTGGGCGCAACGAGCAGGGTCGTTCAGTCAAACGTAAGTCTACTTGAAAAGAATCGCCTCGGAATTTCGTCTGATGAATTAATCACCAGTGGAGTGTATCCACCCGACCAGGGGCACTCTGACGGTGCAGGAGCTAACCAATGGGTGAGGATGGTATATAGGGAGATTAGGAAAAAACACGTCAGAAACGAACGTACCTGCTTGTGAACTTTCGTCAACTGATCGAGGTTGTTTTCGAGGAAAGCAATTTTCTGCTTCTGCGCGGGAGATCCTCCAGCATCTGCTTCACCGTCGGAAGCCTCAATCACATTCGACTTCTTCACGCGACTCTGAAGATCCTGTAAATTCATGGAGTGAGAGTCTGAGCACCCTTCAAGAGGCGCTAATGAACCCTCATTGACGATATCGGACCCCAGACTCGCTTCCGAAAGGATCCCCGGAGCGACGTCCGTTGCCTCGGACGCACATACCTGTACAAATAGCTTCCTGAGGTTGTGCAGGGTTTGAAGTTCTTTCGACACCGTCTCTTCGAGACCCTTGAGGTCTTGACGGGCCTGCTCCCGGCGAGCATTCAACGACCTGAAGGAGAATCTAAGGTTGGAACCTTTCTGTCAGTGAACGAGCACATGCAGACGAAGGAGGGAGGAAACTCGACGTGAAAAAAAGGTGACCGAGGTGGGTGACATTGACAAGTCTCGTTCTCTAAAAGTGCTACCCCTGTGCGAATTTAGTATTCATCGGATTCTTCTCTCATAATTCTCGGGTCGATTGAACCTTCGGAAACTTCGCACATAGGCACGACTCGACCTCATTCCTCGCTCGAGTTGTGAGTTAGATCCCAGACACCAAGAGAGACTCGCCCGTCTTTTGAAAATGCATGGGCGCCCGCCGACCATCATGAGGGGAATGTGCGGAATTCGATCGAGCGAACCCGTTTTACGAATTCTATGAACCGAACTCCATCGAATAGTGACGAATGAGGAGCTGGATAACGAACAGAACGTCATCTGGAATCGGAAAACGATCGGATGAATCGGGGAACTTACTGGAGTTCTTGCAGCTGCTTAGCCTTGGCTTGTTCCTCTTCGACGAGCTTCTGGTGTTGCTCCTTGAGCGCCTCGTGCTCCAACTTGAGTTTTTGCAGTTCGTCGGAAGTGTTACCGATGGTTATCAGATGTTGACTGACCTCATCACGCAATGCAGCGATTTGCTTCTGGTAGGATTCTCGGTGCTTCTCAATTTGTTCCTCAAGGGCGGCCTTGATTTCATCCGAGCTCCCTGTAATGGGAAAGATCCTGTTTTGGAAAATTCGGGACGGGACAAGGGTGATCCATTCGCGGAATAGCACGGAGAAAATTATTTTCGTAACTCTGGAATCGACACGGATCATACAATATATAGACAGATAGATAGATATGATACGTATGGGTGTGAACGAACCCTTGGCTTTCTCCTTGGAGTTCATCTCTTCGGCTGCCTTCAATTTGGACACTTCCGCTGTCAAGCCGTCGATTTTCTCTTCTAGTTCTCTCTTTTTACTATCCAATTCCTTGACGTGATCCTGCTGACTCTTGAGCTTGGCCTCGTGCTGTTGAATGAGAAGTTTTGCGTCCTGCAAAGCTTTGTCATTGTCCTCCATTCGTTTGTTCGTATCCCCTTGACTGTCTTCAAGTTCCTTGCAACGTTGAGACATCGCGGAGATCTCTGATTTCATCTTGGTCACGTACAACCGAGCCATCGTGAACTCGTCCTCGATTCCTTTACCACTCTCTAAAGCCGGAACCTTGAGCTCGCCAACGCGCATCACAACCCCGATTTCCCCGAGGTCTCTCAGAAGACCTCCGAGAGCTTCGTCGATTTTGCGTTTCTGATGGTTTGAGAAATCCTTCAGCTGCTGCAACTCGTTCTGGAACGTCGTCACTTGCTGGCTCTTGGTATTGAGTTCCTCGTTCAGTTGATCGAGCTGCTTGGTTTGCGAGGCGGCTTCCTCGCTCTTCTGGTCGTAGTTCACGGCCAATTCTTCGAGCGCTTTGAGCACATCTTCGACTTCTTCTCTCGCGCGCAGGAACTGCCCTTGGAGTTCGTTCATGTCTTGTTGAACCTGTTCCTTCTCCCTTCGGATGCTATTGACGCTCTCTTCCTGCTCGTTGAGTTGTTCTCTGAGTTTCTCGATCAGCACACACGTCTGAGCGATTTCGTCGTCCTTCTCATCCAATTGACGGTACAGTTCGGCTCTTTCATCCGTCGCCAGGGGATTCTTAGCGGCAACCATCGCCTTGGTCTGCTCGATGATGTTGGTCGTTGAAGCAGCCATCTCGATGCTGACCTGGTCGTCCTTGTTGACGCTTTCGCCATTCCGCCATTTCTGCAGTTCAGCCTGTACTTGCGCAAGTTGCGCTGCGAGCTTCGTCGATGTTTCCTTCTCTCGCATGTACCGTCGCTTCCACTCCTCGGCTGTGAGTTCTTCGTTCACAACCACAACGTTCTTGATGGTCTTTGCCCGTCGACCGAAGTCGAGGGTTGACCGAGATTCTTCTTCATTGAACGACGCGGGCGAAATGCAAATGATGATCGTTGTACGAGAATTGCCTCCAAGAGACTGCTGTAAAACTCGGGTCAACTTCGAGTCTCGATAGGGGACGAAAGGTTTCCCGTCGGCTAGAGCCGAAATTACTTGACCTGTAAGATTGGCAAAGGAGAATTTCAGCTCGGTGACTTGCACCCCACATATCGGGAAGAGTCAGCTCGATCATTCCTGTCGATCTACGGACTCGACGATACCCACCGAGTACGTGCAGGGATTTATTAATATTTTTGGCCTCATCCAGCGTAGTTCCCGAAGCTCCGGTCTTCGAGACTTTCTCCGAACCAGCCAAATCAACGAGGTACAGTCTTCCAGAGAGCTTCCTCTCATCCTCGAACTCCTGTTTTATATTAATTTGGAAGATGGCATGTGATCGCGATGAGTGTTCGTTCATATTCGTTCCTGCAATCGCTCTGATAGATTTTCCTTCTTCGATTGTGATGAGAAGCTCTTCAGCGGTTGCAACGAAACGCTCGCTGGCTCCCTGGAAATTGGACAATAACTTGATCAATCGAGGGGACCAAGGATAGTCGATAGACTACAAATCGGGGGACCGTTCCAACTCCAACAGAGAGCATATCACCATGCTCGAACCGGAGTATTCTCGCCTACAGATCCGCAAACACTCGGATGAGTAATCAGCTCACCTTGACGTAAGGCACTTTGTTGCTATCCTCGTGCACGCTGAGATTCGTTTTGGAACTGTCGAGCAGATCACGAATTTTGTCTAGATGGATTTCGTAATAAGACACAGAGATGGTAATGACCGCATCCTTGTCCATCAAATAAATGTGGTTGAAGATGTCCTGAACAATTCTGGGTATGATTCCCTGAAGATCGGGTTCTTGCAGGACGCCTTCCATCGTGTGGGTCTTTCCTGATGACGTCATTCCGTAGGCGAAGATGGTTCCGTTGAAGCCATTGAGCACGTCTGCGGAATTCACGATTTCGGAAATTGTTCGCGCTCCCTTATCGAGTACTCCCGACTATCAAATATATTTTTCAGAACAGAAAATACTCCTCGCTATTACTTACAGTTCACGATTTCTTTGGCTGCACCATTGTAGACGAATTCCTGCGACGCCGACGGTTTGAAGATCTTGTCGAACTGGTACGTTCGGTTCTGGAGAGAAAACGCGTCCTCTAGTTTCGATTTCGAGTTGTATACATCCCGAATATCTACGTTGCGGTCGATTCGGAGAGCCTTAGTATTAACCATGGATTTATTGCCTCTATGAAGTTCATCTTGGTCGGACATGATCACCAAATCACCGATTGGCCAGAACGTCCAACAACGTCTTCAAGGTTTATTATGGGACAGTATGAGCGCCGCAATTCTCAATTAAAATCTGCCCATCGAGTGACTTCGACTCAGAGCCGATTTCCCGTTCGATGTCGCCGGAGTGCCACACCCTGATCTCACAGGAACCATGGCGTAAATCAAGATCGGAGCAGGTATAAACAGTGTTTCCAGTTATTTCTGGTGGTGTCCGCGCGATGCCCCGGCATCTTCTGTTTCTCGAAACTTCTTCGATACCATCGGTCGGGCCCTAATCAACTCCGACTTCTGTGCAGCGGAGAAGGCTCGGACCATTGCCGAGGACTCTCACGAGCCACGAAAATCTTTCGATCGGCTCTCTCATGGGAGCGCATCGACAAACCTCGTGGTGAATGACGGTCTCTCGAAGGTGATTCGAAACTACGTTCGTTTACGAGCTGTGACTCGAGTTTTACATACCTCCGAGACGACTTTTCTTGCGGCTCCCATCTAGAATTTCTTTCGTCAACTTTCCGAGAAAATGAGTCATCGTCGACCGAAACGATGATAAACTCACGCCACGAAAGTATTGCGGCCGCACGACAGGAGTCTCGGGCGGCTTCGTCAAGAAGTACTGATGGAGCACAGCCATGAAAAACAGAGATAAAAAACAGGCAGAAAGACTCATCGGGTCGGAGAAGAACGCGTGTCGGAATCCCTTATCTCATGATGAGCCCGCACGAGGCGTATCGCTCGTATAGAAACATCATCATGCGATCGAGGGGGTGTGATGTTCATTGAATTGCATGGGAAATTTGGAAAGCTCGAGCCCAACGAACTTTATTTTTCCGGATTTCTACACGGCGCGGCGTTTTACTTCAGAGGCTCGATTAAATGTCGGTTCTTCAATCAGCTCGTGGAACTTCCCCACTCACTCATTAGGACTCCATGAGCAAGGCTCGGAACGAATACTAGCGTAGCGGGTTCCTCAGTGGCCTTATCTTTGGCGATAAGGTGGTTTTGGTAACCGAAAGTCGGTTTTTATAGCGCCGCGCGGATTAGGCATCCCGGTGTAGATCCCAGCAGATCCCGGTGGCCTATCCAACCGCAATTGGGAGAGCCATTGAGCGACGGAGCTTGGTTTGACGATGCGATCGACTTTCATGTCGCTTGTTCTGAATAAAATCATTCCGTTGACAATTACACAACGAAAGAGCGGGCTGGAGCCGAAAGTCGACGGCTGAATTGCACGCTCCATAGACTCCGTCCGGTGTCTCGGTCGCTGCTGCTGACCGTGGATAGATGAATGTCCAGATGTCCGACGTAAATGGTTGCTTTCTGCTCTCTGACGATGCCGCTTGGTGGAACGCTGGACGCCGCGTTGGCGAACCTCACCCAGGCATTTCCGCTGAGCTAGTACTAGAATAACGGACGCCGCGACAACCAAGAATATCTGGGAAACACCGCAATGACATTGGAAGCAGACGTAATCCGCTGGAGAGCTCCGGGACACTCGACAGAATGAAGATGAGCGCCCCGTGGTCTTTACCATCTAGATGAGGGGGAGCGAACGGAGACGAGAGAAGAATCCCTCGACTTGTCGGCGCAGTTGAGAGAGACACATCAAACAACGATTCGTCGGTTGCATCATGGCACGCTAGCCCTTCTTTTCTTATTGACAGAATAGCCGTCGCCGCCGCAACTGCAATGCTCTCCTCAGTAGCGGCAGTAGCTAAGCCCAAAACTCTATAGGGGAAGCTGCCATGACGGCAGACCCGAATACCGGGTTAATACCTTAAGCCTTAGGAAGGTACCACTCTCGAAGAGCGAGACGTTTTCGCTTATTCTTCGATTTCTCAAAGATGATTCATAGGGTCCTCCCGACTAGACTTGACTGCAGGCATCGAATTCGCACGCGGCTCCGTCTTGAACACGCTCCTCCGCTGAGAGATTCATCCGCGTCATATAGTTCCGTCCGAAAACTGTCCGCATCCGTTGTCATCGAATCGGGGGACTCGGATCTGCCCGCCAGGATTTAGTGCGATCAAAATCATGGAATGTCGGATAGATGCATGCTCATCCAGAGACAATCCGCAGACAATCATTCTCTATCGACGGGCAACACACTCGGATGACTTGGGAGTTGAGCGAGCACCCGGTGAAACACTTGTCAGATTACGGTTCAGAGCTCGGCTTGCGGGCTGTGTAAATAATTCACTCTGTGCTAAGCAAGATTAATGTCGGAACCCCCTCCCCCCTTTCATCGCTACGATGACCACTGACCCTTGTAGGAATGCAATGGAACATCGAGCGATTGGACCCACGCAGGGAGCGCTACGATTTGTTGTCATGAGAGGCTGGGCGTTTTCAGAAGAGTGAACACACCCCGTATTCGACTCCACTCGGGATGTCGCGATCGTGCGATCTATTGTTTCTGAGAGCTTAACCGACAAGCATGCAGAGCAGCTCTGATTCGAATCTGATCATCGAATGAGAGCACTGAAGACGATGCATATTACATAGATCTTGCGAGCGGGTGGGCTTGCGAAAATGGGCATCAATCGTCCCTGGGTTTTTTCAGGGCATTGCCCGACACATCGGGATTGTCTCTGGGCAGTAGGAAGACAGGACCGTCAAAAGAGGTAATGTGACATCTGCTTTTGGGACGGATGAGATGACCGCATCTTAGCTTCCAGACAGATTTCTCCGTCCGGCGCAAGTGACAAATCGCCGGAAACCAAGCCTTTCAGCGCATACGATAGCGGTCGGGCATCTAGCGGTAAGCGGCGAGATAATTCCGAGATTCCGCGCCCCTAGGCCTCGGAGGCGAGGGCTTCGAGAGGGGAATGAGATCATGAAGTAAAATGACGGTGGACTGCTGTCTACTTACGTTGAGGCTGATCTGTCCCTCGTTGTCATCGTGAAACTTGACGACGAACTTGGATTCCTTGCCCTTCTCGATGTCGTTCAAAGGCCGTACTCTACACACAACTCGAATGTTGCAGTCCTCACCGGGGTTCGAGCCCGGCAGGGCCCCCAAGGCAGAAACATTCATTTTCGTCAGTCACTCTCTGGGCAGCCGTAGCGCCTCTGTAGAATGTGAACTAATTCGATCCGGATTCACCGCGTGCACTGCGGACACAGCATTCAGCACTGCGACACCAGCTCTCCGCCCGAAGACAGGCTACGAGATTTCCAGCGGAAATCTGCTTTTTCTTTGTCGGGTGGGTTGGGTTTTTCTTCGCTGCTGCTGCTGTTGCTGCTGCTGCTGCCGCACCACAGCCGACGACGAACACAACAAGGCGGCCATGAAGACGTGGTGGTGGTACCACACACAATGATCCTTGCCGGGCGCTCGGCTACGCCCAGGGGTGAGTCACGCGCGGTAATTTCGAAAGAGACAGCCTCGATCGCTGCGCTCCGAGTACGGTGGACTGGGGACATAGTCGAGCGCGCGTTCACGAATGAGAATGCAATGATCCAACGCCGGCCGGAGTGTCTTCGATGAGTCAATCCGCGTAAAGCGCTCGATGAATACGGTGGCGGGCTTATCTTGACGGGTGATTGCTCCGTCGAACAGAAGATAGGATGACGCGATCCGGAGGGCTATGCCCCGGGGGGAAAATCGCCGAGATAGAGATTCGTCTTGTCCGCTTTATGCTCCTCCAAACGCAGTAAATCGGCGCCGTTCCATATCGAAGGGCTCAGACAAGATGTGGTAAAGGTCATGTGACTTCGACGGGAGGAATGTCCACGATCGATTCGGGGTTCTTAGCCATTTTTCTGAAGAGGCCAGTCTTCGTTCTCTCAGCTGACTGGAATTTACACGTTACCTCTGGTGGCAGGGCAAATGCTGCCAGGATGCTTGCCAGGAAAACATGTGAAACGTGGGACGGAGCGAGAAACCCGAGATACACTGGCTCAGCTCCTCAATGAGAAATAAGTTGCAATGGATCGAGAACCCGCTAGCGTCTTCGGAGGCGTCCCTACTTATCATATGAAGTCTCTTTTCGGTACATCCATGGAGGAAACTGTCTCGAGGGTTGGGTATGCGCCACGGAGCACGGTCGCGTCGTGGCCGCCTGCGCTGTCTGACTCCTTTGCGGACATTTCTCGTGCACGCATGCTGCAGTCCGACGCGAATTTCGAGAGTTCTGAGGACGTGGCCATTTCAGCGAATCATTGAGAACTCTATCATCGCGGCAAGGATCTTCGCTGGACATCTTCGTATATTCATCCTCGCATATACGTTCTGCTTTGGACAGGATGTTCACCGGAAGAATCCCGAGTCCGACATGATTCTTGCACGGAAACCGATATGCAGCATTTACGATTTGACCGCTCAGATAGACAGGCACCAACGAGTGTTTAGCCTCTGGAGGAAGTTCTGCTTTCTTCCCCCCTTCGAATATACTAGATTTCCTCCTAATTCAGCATGCAATTTCCCACTACTCCTCGTACCCGTCGACGCAGAACTCGATATGACTTCGCTTGGACTAACTTAGGCCACTGATTAAGCATGTGTGTCGGCCGCCCCGTCTCCAGCTGCATTCATACGGAGCACATTTGAATAACTATTGCTCGGTTCGTTTCTTCTGACCTTAGGGCTCGAAGATTTCTCATTCTTCATTGAGTGGATGCTCGCGTTCGGGATCTTCCTGAAAATGAAAGCACGGAAATGTGAGAGTTTGCTTCGTGGCACTCAGTTTGTGTCGGTGGTCTTCAGCTCCGTGTCCGAGTCACCCGAAGCATTCAGTCCGCAGTCAGAGAAAATCCGTCCCAGATATCGGAAACCCTGACATGACGAGAAGATCTAAGGGAGCTGGCTCCGCGACCGCTCAGTATCTTCCGGGAATTCTAGTTGAGAGGTCCTTGACAATAATGTCCGCGAAGACTTGAAATCAAGCAAGAACACCATGCCCATATGTAGTACTAGCTTGAACCCGACTCTCTCCATTCACGCGCATAAGTTCAGGATTCATTATGGCCATGTGATCTGCGTGAGCCGTTCTACGTATTCCGGTTCATATGTATGAACGTATATTGACGAAGACGGATTTCTCAGACTCCGACATCGAGATCGTCAAGCTTGAATATGGATCACTTCCGCACTGCTCTTACTCCTCCGAGGAGCGGTGGCCTATTGTATGGCCGTTGAGACGCGAAGGCCATCTGCGAATCTGATCTCTAGCTGTTTGCGTATACTCCAAACCTTCAATGGGACGATCAATGAGTTTCCCCACAGTTGAGACTTTCGAATCGGGAAGGAAAGAGGGGCTGTCGAGAGAATCGTCTTCGGAGGCTCAGCAAGTCCATTCTAAGCGTCCCGAATTCATACTCCCGGCATGTGAGATCCCTTAATTTCCATTATCACTCTCCTCCTGTTCACATCTCTCGACACATATGAATCCCTGCAAGACGGGGCGACTCCGTCGACCCTGGAGTCCCTTCCCCTCTGATCAAAGGATTTGTTATTCTCGGGGGACTTGGCATGAAATCACGCGCTCCCTTCGGAGAGGGCATTACTCAAGGTAGCCGGCTGGAGATTCAACTTCTCGTCATATCAGTCTTCCACGACCACATCATTCTGTGAAATACGGAATGCCTCTCGATAGAGGACGTTGGTAGTGCGGGAAATCGAGTTTCCGACTAAGTAAGTTTCACGATACTGAATCGAGTTTCAGTAGAGCAAAAGCCTCGTACACCGATCATTCCGGTCAACGAACTTTTCCTCTCTCGAAGCCGTATTTCGAACAACAAACGATTAACACCTTCCCTCCGGGTTTTCCGTATCCCGGGAGACGGAATTCGAACCTTCGATTCCATTCTCTATGCTCGCGATCAGAGTCATGGTCCTGTAGAACGGCTTAGGTTTCTCAATCGAAGTTTCCTTGTGCTTGGACCATGGAGACCATAGGCGTCACTACAAGGTAAGTTCATATTGGAAGGCACGCGAGCATCCTTCGTCATCGGCTTCGACTGAAGCCTGTCGAGGTAGTGTAGCCTAGATTGTGCGCCTTCCCGATGATCACGGCAAAGAAGGCCGAATGAGGAGGTCATGACTCATGACAAGCTCCGCGGCTTGCGAACATACAGCAGACAGTGACGAGACATGTTTTCGTCCCTCTCATTTTCGTTCGAGCCCGCTCGCATCCCCGCATCCCTATCGAAACGATAGATCCATTCGCCGCTATTCCACCGAGAGGCTGAGCTGTCATCGGAACTTCCCGCAGAGTCAAAACCAGGTGCTCCTTAGGTAAAGTGTAAAGCTCGGCATCCAACGATACAATGTGCTCCACAGAGTTTGGATATTTTTGGACACAGCGGTTTCGACCGGTCATGTGAATTTTTCCCTCGGCTGTGGGAGCCAAGGACTCCCTGTTAGGTTCTTGAGCCTCTAGTTCCGCCGTCTGGACTCGCTCAAGAAACTCCCGACCTCCCCAATGAGCTTACAACAATGATGTTCTGAATTTTTTAAGTAACAATAAATCTGAATCGGACTCCGAGGTGTCTCGTCGCTTGCCATTCAATTCTCCTAGTTCTCGGGAAGCTCGCCAATCGTTGTGAAGCCAAATTCTGAGCCGACGACGAATTCATGAGGGGATTTCAGCTCCAGTTGTGAGCAGAAGGGACCTCCGATCGAGGGGCAATCATCGATGATGCTGATCAAATCTCTCTGTTCTCTGATTGTGAACCGCAGTCGACCGGGAGTGATTCCATTTCCGAGTAAGTTCGGCTCCACTATCTTGTGTTGCGAGACATCTAGATCATGTCTCCACTTGAACTCCTTCTTCAATCCGAAGTTCCAGTCTCTCTTTTGAGCGAGCGACTCATCATGCGATTCATCTTGATTTCTGCACTGGATCTATCCTTATCGGAATTTTATCGAGCATCGATGTTTTCCCAGGTTTCGGGACGTGAACAAGCTCCCGTCAGATGCAAAGATTCATGCTCTCCGTAGAGCGCGGGTTTTCACCGGACAAGACGATCACAATTTCGAATACCCGAGGGGGACCCCTTCACCCCAGGGTGCCGGGGTCTGCAACCACACTTAGTGAGGTCCGAGTGAGGAGGAGAAAATGTGTTTTTTTCTGATGCGGGAGTATAGGTTCCTTCAGGATGAGTCCGTCGAGCACGTTCCGCCGCACCAGGCGTCCTCCGGGCTAGTTCTCCCGCCTGGTTCACTGCCCTTCCGTGCTGAAACAAGAGAGTACCGCCGTAAGCCCTTTCGAAAGATAAGGCATCTTCGAGGTCTTCCGCAAACTTCATTTGCAAACGTAAAGTCAGCCATCCTGTATGATCTCTTGCTAGTATAATCCCGAGCTTCCGACTCCCAGGTGGGCGGCCCGGCGTCAGCATCGCATCCTAGGGGTCCGAGGAGATATTTACATTTCACTTCTGTTATCAGAGAAACGAGCTCATCCATCTCATGCAATAGCGATACGAGTCATTCTCGGAACTATCCGTACACTTGAAGCTACCTCGAGGGGGAATTAAGAATCCACACGTAGTGGGTTTTGAGCAATGATTTGAATTGCCCGCCACGCTTCTGGAACAGGCGGTCAAAGCTCCGTGACTCCGCGCGGAGCGCTAGCCCCGGTTCCAGGTGCGCGTAAACATCGCGCCTCGATCAGAGTCGATCTTTTCTACCACTGTCACCTGGAGAATACGACAGGTTCGGCGGGGATTCGAGACCCCCACCGAACTGCGCAGTACGCGGCGTAATCGCATAGGGCTTTCGCCAAGACAGCTCTGCCGTTGGGGATTCGCCATGGCACCGTATAACCCCGAGTCCGGTTCGACGATTGTCAGCGTCGATAAATGCCCCAAACGCTGCGAAACGCGTTTTGAGGGCCTTAAACGCGATTCAAACTTTGGCTCTCGGGGCATCCCGCCGGGCCTAGCGGAGCGGGGAGGGCAGAGCGCTGTTCACGGGCCCCATGTGACTCGTAGCGGCCGCTTAGCGCATCGATCCTTCGAGTTTTTCCCGCTGGCGGGTGGCGTTTGTCGCGTTTTTCGTCACCCCCAAAAGATATTCTGACATTCTGAGTGGTGTCGAGTGTTCACGTAGAGCTGCCCCTCAGAATAGAGCGGCCTCAGCCCAGTGACCTACTTTTATGCGCTCAGCGTGGTCGGGCCCGTCTTGGAGACTGCTCCCTATACGCCGCTGCTGGTGGTGCTGCTGCTGCTGCTGCTGTTGGCACTGCCCGGCCAACGGAGTTAGCCAGCAAGCCAGCAGGCAGGCAGCGAGACGGCTGCTGTGAAAGCGGCCCACCGCGAAAGTGGGC